GCTCTCTCTGTACTCCCGTTGGTATCGTGTTAGCGCGGCCAGCTCGTCTGTCTTGTTGGGTAGAGATCTCACGTTTCCCATGATGACGGAGGGAAGAACAGGTCTGAAGCGTCTCTTCTTCTCGCGACGTTGTTTTCCTGCGCGGCATCCACGGCGGGTCTTACGAAGTATCTCCGGGGGGATCTCGTGTCTGTCCCGAGGGAACACTACAGCGCTACGCAGCGTGATCAGCTGTTCCCTCCTGTAAACAAAGCACACGCGAGCCGCTTCGTGCATTGTTACGCCGGCCGGTCTGGTTATTGTCAAAAATATTATATTTTGAGACTCCCAAAAACGACAAAAGTGCGGTGCTGTCTTAAAAAGTATATACAAAGTAATTTCCACAAAAAGGGAAGGAAAAAGTGAAATAAATAGAAAAGAAATAGAGATCGAGTAAGAGCTGTTGCAAGCAGCTGCCGGCTTCGACCGGCGCCGGAAGTATTAAAATCTCAGCACAGTTCACCGGCTGTTTGTATTCAAACTTAGCCTGTGTAGCCTGATATCGCCCTCTTAGTTTATTTTTGGTTTCCAAAGGGCATTATCAACGGGCGCAGACTAAAATGGCTCCTTTGGCTTAACCTACACCCAAACAGAGCAATGAAATATTACCAAATCCTGACGGAAGTATGGCAAACTCATCTTTCTTATCAAGAATAGCTTTAAGTGCAGTTCTTTGTTCATTTGGAGAAAATATATACAGTTTGTTTAATACTGATGTGATAGTGGATCAACAGAATGGATCAGCTGAACTTGAACACCAAACAGATGGTAACATGCACGTTCACCAAGTCTACGAGGTCATGTTGCACATTATTGTCTTATTACTTTGCAGGCTACAGTCTATACTGTCTATATTGGTTTTGTCACAGTCTCAGCTGTGACTTCAGGGTTTTGTGTTTGTTTGCCCTTTCCATGCTTCCTTCAACATGTGACTGAATAGAAATTATGATAAATGATGTAAAGATCAGAGTCTTAGTGATAGTATAAATAAAGTTTTTACTGTGTGTGTTTTACTGACGCTTTTAGAATGGAGTTTGGTTTGGCAGTTTATTAACCTTAATAATTTACATAAACTGAGCTGACCTACCTTCTATTAATAAACCTGCATAAAGTAACGTAGGAAGTGGAGATAAAAACCCACCTGTTTTATATTTCTGTCCTATAGTAGTGAAAGGTTGATCAGTAACAGCGGTTACACTTCGCCACAGCAATTTATTTAGTTTAAAGTAAGGTCACACTGGACAGACGACCAAAACAGAAAAATTAAGAGGCTGAACGACGTGAAAATAGTCCAAAATATGCAAACTTGTCAACCCCTATTTCTGCATGAATAGAGGTCCTGTTTGCCTTGCAGATAATGGACAGGAAAAAATAAACATTAGTTTTACTATGTCAACAAAAATATAAGGTCAGTGATGTGTGTATATGTTTGCCAATGAGAGCTATCTATCGGTCTAAATCACTAGTCAAATATTTGATGGCTAGTATTCTCTGTGACTTGTTACACACTGTGCATACACTATCAAGTGATTAAGGATATGAAGATGTCTTTATGTGGATACATTTTAAATAATAAAAAAGCAAAACTAATCCTATATGAATATTGATGTATCTTGGTCTTTTTTGAATAAATAGATGCAAAAACATCAAATTGATAAATTATTTTTCTTGATGTACTGAGTGGAGCAATTGTCTCCTAAATATGTAATTTTGGTGATATGTGTATAAAATGAGCTACCAGACAGCTTTCCAGGGGATTATTTTTATTGTTTGTTGTATTAATGTATGAGTTTCTTTTTTTAAAGATTAACTTTATTGATTAGAGAGGCTGCTTTCAGTCATTTTGAACGTCTCTATTAAGGGAAAGATGCTTCAACCTTAGAGGATTTAAAAGTTGCCAGTTATTCCTCTATTTAAAGCGGATGATCCGATGTTTTTAAAAAATATTAGAAAAGATTATATACAAAAGGATCCTTTCTCATGTAGATTCTAATTCAATTCTTTACAAACATCAGTATGGTTTTCGGAAAAATCACTCCACTTATATGCCTTTGCTTCATTTGATTGATAAAGTTACCTCTGCATTAGAAAATAATGAATTTATCTGTAGTATATTCATTGATTTTTCAAAAGCTTTTGATACAGTTAACCATCATATTTTACTGAAAAAACTGCATAAATATGGTTTTCATGATGTTACGTTTGAATGGTTAAAAAACTATGTCTCAAATAGAAGACAGTTTGTTTGTATTAATGGATGCTATTCCAACAAAGCTACACTACTTTGTGGGGTCCCTCAGGGATCCATTCTTGGAC